TTATGATTTGTCTTGGTGTGGTCCTCTTTGGATTCCTTTTGTTTGGAGTTCTGTGCACTTCCTGGACTTGTAAGACTAATTCTTTCACCAGGTTGGGGAAGTTTTCTGTCACTATTTCTTTCAGTATGTTTTTGATATCTTGCTCTCTCTCATCTTCTGGGACTCCCATAATTCTGATGTTGGTTCGCTTGAAGTTGTCCCAGAGGTTTCTTACATTATCTTCAATTTTCTGGATTCTCTTGCCTTCTTGCTTCTGCGGAGGAGTGTCTTCTGGCTCTTTATGTTCCAACTCTTTGACTTGATTCTTGCGATCTTCCATTCTGTTTTTAGGACTCTGTATAATATTTTTTATTTCAGACAATGTATTCTTTATTTCTTGTTGATCCCTTATCATTTCTTGTTGATTCCTTATTAATTCTAGTTGATCCCTTTTCATATCCTCATAGATCTTATCGACCTTTTCTAGGAAATTCTTGAAAAACCTAATAAGCGTAGATTTGAACTCTATATCCAGTCGCTTTTTGTCCTCCATTTCTTTCGTTTGTGATCTATTTCCTTGTCTCGGCATTTTCGCAGCTTCCCTGAAGGGGCGGAGTTTCAGGGTGGAGCCTACAGCCATGGCTTTCCTCAGCCCCACCCTATGCTGTTCCTGAGTCTCAGTAATCCCCAGGGTCCTTCAGTACTCGCTGCAAGCACCTCTGAGAGAAAGGTGCCCTCTATTTTCGCCTGCTACCAAACAGTCTAGGCTCTCCCCAATGAGCCCGGAACTGAGGTTCAGTTCAGTTGGAAGTGGAGTTGGAGGTGGCATTCAGAGCAGTCCGGAGCTTTTGTCTCCTTCCCGCCAGGGCAGTCCCAAGGCACAGCCAATCGTCTCTTCTCTGTGTGCAATGTGCGCGCCTCCGGGACCTCCTTTCACCGCTCCCCAGGGGTTCCGCCTTACAGCCCAGCTCCCTATGGATGAGCCTGGGTCCCCGGGGTCTGGCCTAGAACTGGGGTTCAGAGCAGTTGGAACTGGGGCCCAGAACAGTCGGAGCTTTTATCTCCTTCCCGCTAGGGCAGGGGTGTCAAACTCAATCAGAGAAGGGGCCAAAATCTAAAATCCAGCCTAAATCGCGGGCCGAATGGTTTAGTGATCAGTCATAAACTGTCATTGTGATGGACACGCAGTGGAGTGCAGTGATGACAGTGCGGTGCGGGCCACATTGCAAGGCCTGGCGGGACGGATTTGGCTCGCGGGCCTTGTGTTTGACACATGTGTGCTAGGGAACGCCAGCCAGGCACTCAGCCGCCCCCTCCTCTCTGGCTCTGTCCTCTCCGCGTGCGCCGCGTGTCTTGGTACCTTAGGCTCTTACAGCTCCTCCGCTCTTTCTTCTGGTTTCCTCCCTGCCTCTCGTTGTAGAATTTCCAGTCAGTCGACTTTCCTGTAGTTCTGGGTAACGTCCATTTTATATTTTAGTTGTATTTTATTGAAATTGTTGTGTGCGGCTGCAGCTAGGTGTTTACCTGTGCATCCATCTTGGATTCTCCCAGCAATTCATTCTTTACATGAGGCCTTTGTGCAAGCATTCTCCTAAGTGCTGGGATCAATGGTGAATAAGACTGCTGGTCTCTGCCCTCAAAGTTTAAAGATAGTTAAACAAGTTGCAGCTGTATAGTGTAATAAAGAAAAGGCGGCATTGCCGAAACAGGTTCGGCTCAGTGGATAGAGCCAAAGGTCCGAGGTTCGATTCCGGTCAAGGGCTTATACCTTGGTTGCAGGCAAAACCCCAGTAGGGGGTGTGCAAGAAGCAGTTGATTGATGATTCCCTCTCATCGATGTTTCTAACTCTCTATTCCTCTTCCTCTCTGTAAAAAATCAATAAAATATATTTAAAAAAAAAAAAGAAAGAAAGAAAGAAAAGGAGGCATTGTCCCCTTTCTTACTACACATGAGGAAACTGAAAGCTGGAGAGATAAAATAGATTGCCCAAGCTCATATCCCTTTCTATTAATATCCCTTTAATACAGGTATTTTTGTTTTGTCCCTTACAATAGTGGGTTCCATTTATTATTCCTCACCCGAGGATATATATATACTTTTCATTGATTAAATTTTTTTTTATTGACATGAAGAGAGACTGTTTGACAGGCTTCCTTCTGCACACCCCTTACTGGGGATTGAGCCTGAAATCTGGGCATGTGCCCTGACTAGGAATCAAACCATAATCTCCTGCTTCCTGGATCAACACTCAATCACTGAGACACACCGGCCAGGCTCTTTGATTTTTTTTTAAGAGAGAGTGAAAGGGAGGGAAAAGGAAAGAAGGGGAAGAGAGAGAGAAACATTGATGTGAAAGAGTCACATCAATTGGTTGCCTCCTGCTTTCACCCCAGTAGCGGGGCCAGGAATTGAACCTGCAACTGAGGTATATGCCCTTGATCAGGAATTGAACCTGTGACCCTTTGGTACAAGGGTTAACACTCTAACAAAATCGGCCAGGGCTATAGTGAGTCCCATTTATCAATAGGATTCTGGTCTCCGGTCATTGAGTATAGTTTCTTCCCTTAGGTTTGTTCTTGGTATGTAGCTGTCCTCACTTTTTGTTGTTGTTGTTCTTGACCCTTAGGTATCACCTCAGTTTGATACAACAGCAGAAAGCTGGTTCCCAGCCAACAGGAAAGGGAAGCATCATCACCGAGACCAGGCAAGACGTTCAGATCGAAAATCTGCCACCTCCAAGTTTCCACATCTAACATTTGAGAGTCCACCGTCTTCTTCCAGTTCAGCCACACTCGGAGGCCCCTTAATCCAGCAGTGCCCCAATCATTCAGTAAAGGACATTTCCAAAAGGCCCTTAGTTCCAATGCTCAGCCCCCCAAGCTGTGGGGAAATGTCAACACATGCACTTCAAAACTTACCTTACATGTTCATTGCACCTGATATCCAGACCCCAGAGTCATCTCCTATGAAGCAAAGGCTGCTTACCCCAGATCATAAGGAAAACAGCCTGCCAAGCAGTTCCCTTCACTCTAGCACTTCTGAGAGCCCAGTGCCTGGGCCTGTTCTGGTTAAAGACACCCCTGAGGAGAAGTATGGGGTGAAGGTCACGTGGAGGAGACGACGGCACCTGTTCACTTACCTCAGGGAGAGAGGGAAGCTCAGCAAAAGCCAGTTCCTTGTGAAAAACTGACTGGATTTCTCAGAGATCAGTAAATTGATTGCTGCTGTTCATAGAGTTGCTAAAGTTACTTTTCTGACTTACAGAAGAGTTCATCAATAGAATAAAATGGAAATAATACCAATAACATCAAGAAAAGTATTTTAACCAGTTCCAAGATTTTCTTTTTAAAATTTATAAACAGTTTTTAGTGTGTATTTTTCTTGTATTAACTGTTTAAAATTTTAAGATATCTTGTAGTAACTGTTTAAATTGTGTTTAAATAAATTATTGCAGAAAGTTTTTAGAGAACCCTGCTTCTGACTGCCAATAATGCAGAACATTGCCTCCACCACTGAAGGTCTTAGTTGTTTGATTTAACCACTACTAACTAATCCTTTAGTCACCTCATTCAAACTAATTCATTCCCCATGAATGAATTATAATGTAGTACCAATTTTTGAGTACCAATTCTATTGTGCTCAGTGGCAGCTTCCTCTATGACCTGATGGATGGAAAAAATCAAAGTAAACTCTGACTTTATAGTTGAGCAACTTTGGCTCTTCTGCAGAAAGGCAAGATGACGAAAGGCAGCAAGCCCTGTTTTAGCGGCTACTGTAGAATCAGAGAGATAACTGGGACATACTTGAGTTTGCTGTTTTGATTTTTTATTTCCAACCAAAAAAACATCTATAAATATTAAATAGAGTGACAAAATGATTTCTTGGAGTAACTGTTTAAAATGTATGTAAATAGCCCTGTCCGGTATGTATGGCTCACTTGGCTAGGCATAGTCCCATGTACCTAAAGGTCACTGGTTCAATTCCTGGACAGGCCACATATCTGGGTTGTGGGCTCAATCCCCTGTAAGGGGTTTGCAGGAGGCAGCTGATCATTGTTTTGCTCTCACATTGGTGTTTCTCTCTCTAATAATCAATAAAAAAAATTTTTTTTTTTAAAAGAAGTAACTTTAAAATGTATGTAAATAGCCCTGGCCAGGTAGCTCACGTGGTTGGAGTGTCATACATATAGCAAAAGGTTGCAGGTTTGATATCCTGTCAAGGCATATAATTAGGTTATTGGTACCTAGGTTTAGGGTTCAAACCCCCATGGGGTGGGTACAGGAGGCAACCAATCAATGTTTCTCTCTTCTCTCTATCCAAAATCAAAAGTATATAAATAAATGTGGGAACTTTTCAGAGAACACTACTTCTTACTATTGTTGAACTATCCAGTTAACAAAATGTCTTCATTGTGCTTTCACTATACAAACGGCATCTCATTCAGATTTAGAAACCTAATCTGTCAGCCAAGCAAGGATTGTTATTTTATTTTATAGATGGGGATATAAAGCACAAACAATGGACCATGTTCAGGGTCACAGCGAATGGACGCTGACCCTGCCAGTGCAAAGCTCCGCTCTCCTAGCTTGTGCCCAGTTCTCGCCTTTTTAGAAATGCAAGCCTAATGTGGAAACAACTTTGACTTTGGGATGCTATTAAACTCAAGTGCGATAACTTTTTTAAGTTCTGTAAGTTCCATGACAGACCTCGGGTCGCACTCCCTCCCGGTGGTCTGTGTTCACACCATGGGGGTGATGGGAGGCCCCCCTCAGTTTGTGGGGGCTGGGCGGCTCCTCTGACCGACTAGCTTCCCAGTGGGGAGAACATTCTCAGTGCCGGCGGCTCCGCGGTCCAGGCGCCCTGCCCCGGCGCGTCATTCCCGCTGGAGCGCAGGCGCCTCCGAATCGGAGTGCCTACGCCCCTTGGAGCCCCACCCCGCCACGCCGGACGGCGGAAGGAGCCAATGAGAGAGGGGCGGCTGGTCCGCGGACCAATCGGCGGTGGCAACAGTGCGGGGTGCGGTTGCCAGGGGGCGGGGCCCGGACGCGCGCCAGGCTGGCCACCCCAGCAGCGGAGTCCGAGTCGCGAATCTGGTTGGTGGCGGCTACTTTCCGAGCGGCGGGGATGGAGGCGTCGCGCTGCCGCCCGGGACCCGGCGGGGACAGGTCAGAGGGGGATGGCCGGAGAGGGGGATGGCCGGTCTGGTCTTGAGCGGGGGAGCGGACAGAAGCCAGACATTGCGGTCCTCTGGGGCTCTCCGAAGGAGAGGGCGATGGGCTCAGGTAGGGGGGCGGGTGGGGCTGCTCTGGAGCCCCCTCGCTCCTCTGCCACAGAGGCCCCCCCTTTCCCGGGGCGGCGGCTCAGCATCCTGCTCCGGGGTCAGGGACTCCAGGGGCTGCTCGGGAAACTCCTGGAGTTTTCGTTTCGAGCTCGCCTTGCCCTCTGTGGGCCTCGCTTTCCCTAATCGCGTTAGTCCTGTGCCGCCCGCACCGCGTCGGACTGTCATAGCAGATCGGTGGAAGTCTTTCCCTGCGTCCTGGAAGCGGAAGGATGCGGGTGATATTTAATAGTTTGCTCCAAAGACCATTGCTTTAATGGACTGAAAAGGCAAAAGTGTCCTTTTGCTGCTATTTGCTTGGTAGTAATTATCTCTTACTCAAGACTAACTGTCTTATTTGCCACATATCCTCCTCCCCCATGTTTGTGCTCCTCTAGCTCGGCCATGTCCCTTTTTTTCTCCCTCTGCCAAGAAATAAAACGATCCGAAATCTCGGCCTGCCAGTTGTTTGCCAGGTTAATGAAAAGTTAATGGGGAGCGGCGTGAAATCATTGGCTTAAAACTTTGGCATTGTCTGAAGATTCAAATCACACACGCCAACTGTATCCCCCTCTTTTTTTATTCTATACCACGGCAAATAAACATTTAGTGTGCAAGGATTTAGTCTGATGCTTAGAGGAGTCGATATGTAAACAATTCTAAACCATTTAAAAACGTTGTCAGGTGTGATGAGAACAGAAGGGTCTCAGGTTCGATTCCTACCGGTAGTTAAGGGTAGTCCCTGGGCTGCAGTTCCATCCTGGCTCTGGTGGGGGCGCGTACCTGTGTCTTTCTCGCAATACCGTGTTTCCCCGAAAATAAGACATCCTCCGAAAATAAGACCTACTTACAGGTTTCCTTCTGAGTGAAATATAAGGCATCCCCCTGAAAATAAGGCCCCCCTAGGCTAAACATGACAGATCTGGTCCACTGAATCTGAAAGAAATGGAGTCACAAGAAATTCATCAGGAAATTCAGGAATTGGATTGTTATGATGGTGTTCCAGAAGATGTTGACATGATTGTCATTGAATAAATGAGTAAATTCTTGATACTGTAGGATTCAGTTTGTCTGGTTTGTGTTGACAACTACCATACTACTGTACCGTATACAGGTAATAAATTTCCTTTATTTTCATTTAACAATAAATGTGTACCGTATTCTTCTTCATGGAAAAATAAGACATCCCCTGAAAATAAGACCTAGCGCATCTTTGGGAGCAAAAATTAATATAAAACACTATCTTATTTTCGGGGGAAAAGGTAGATGTTTCTCTCCCCTCTCCCCCTTTCCCCCCTCCCATTTAACTATCTCTAAAAATCAGAGAGAAAACTATTCTCAGGTAAGGATTAAAAACAAAAACAAGCCGGGACCGGTTTGGCTCAGTGGATAGAGTGTCGGCCTGCAGACTGAAAGGTCCCAGGTTCGATTCCGGTCAAGGGCATGTACCTTGGTTGCAGGCACATCCCCAGTGGGGGGTGTGCAGGAGGCAGCTGGTTGATGTTTCTCTCTCATCGACGTTTCTAACTCTCTGTCCCTCTCAATTCCTTTCTGTGTACAATCAGTAAAATATATTTTTAAAAAAAGCAAAAAGCAAACAAAAATATCATGTTTACGGGGGAGGCACCCATTTTCCTCTTTCATCAGTTTTCTGTATGTGATAATTGCTGTGAAATTTGTTCATTGCATTAAAGAGGGGAAAATCTACAATTACAAGTAAAAATATGGATATGTTAGGAGGAGGTAACGTTAAAATTGAGCATCTTCATTGAATTCAGATGGTCTTTGTTCTGTTATAGTCACTCACTCAATCTTAATTAGTTAAGTAAATTTAAGGCCATGCATTTCACGGGTACTAGGTGTTTGAAATGACTTATGATTTTTGGGGGGGAAATGGAATTGACTTTGAAATTGAGAATGGCTAATTCTTTGGGATCTGAAGTTTAAAAGGATAATTTTAATGTTCTCCCCTCTTTTTCTTCCCAAGGAAACCAGCTCTTTAATTTAGACATTGACATCAAAGGGGAATATGTGAGTCACCAAATGTTTCTCCTGCCCTAGGTAATATTAGTGCAGCCTCTATTACTGTTTAACTCATTTGTTGTTGAGAGGGAGTGGAATGTCTCATGCTTTATTGGCTCCAGATTGTGTGTTTAAAGTTTTTCATGAAAAACATGGCTAGAGCTTTTGACATTAATACCTTTTTTATTGTGAAGTAATATCTGACTTTTAAGTTTCTTGTGATTTTCTTCTTCTTCTCTGAATGTGACTATTTTACCACGAGGCAAATTTCTTTTCAACAAAGTAGAAAAATTATTAAAAAATAAACTTCAAATATTTTCCTATGCCTGAATTATTTAGTGAAAATTGGAGATGGAATTTGAAACAATACTGAGAACCTTTGATGAGGCTAGGCACTTGATATAGATTCCCTAGAGATGACAGCAGTTGGCTGGTGCTAGAATTTGAGCTCTCTCTGGCCTTTTGTTCCTGATCAAGGATTGTAGATGTGGTGAGAGAGACTTCTCAGAGTAGGTGACATTGTGACCCACTGTTGACTAAGAAAATCTTTGTCTGCGGTTTATCCCTATGCCATGATTTCTCATTAGAAATATGAGCAGTAGTAGTGGCTGTAGGTTATGTCCTTTCATATTCTCTCTTTCTTAAATGTTTCATCAGAGCAACTACTTGGCAAACAGACTTTACCCAGTGCTTAGAAATACTTAGATTAACTAATACATGACTGTAGTAGGTTTGGCAAATATCGAAAGGTATAGTGAAGACCTAATGTCTATTTCATGTATTTCTCCAATAGTAAAAGCTACATACAGACCTAGAAAGGAAAGAATAATCTCTGAAATAAATTTCCTTTCTTCCACGATCCTTCTGCCTACGCAGACAAACTCAAAACATTTCTGTAATAGTTTTCATTTCTGGCTTCTCTTATTCCTTCTTATGGAAACTCTGCTGTTTCCTTGAATTTGTGCCCATTGAAAGAAAAGGTTTTTGTGGTTTTTTCTTTTTCCTTACCAAGAGGAAAAGTATGCTTGAATTGCTCTGAGGAGGAGTTGAAGCTGTCTTGCCTCTTTTTCTTTGAGGATTTTAGGACTAGAAGGGACCTTGATAATTTCCTTAGTTCTCCTATTTGAGAGTATTATAGTTCCACAGTGGAATTAAGGCTTTCAAACTTGAATTTTCTGTCATCTCCTTTTGCTTTATTTATTTATTTATTTATTTATTTATTAATATATTTTATTGATATTTTACAGAGAGGAAGGGAGATAGAGAGCCAGAAACGTCGATGAGAGAGAAACATCGACCAGCTGCCTCTTGCACACCCCCTACCAGGGATGTGTCCGCAACCAAGCTACATGCCCTTGACCGGAATCGAACCCGGGACCCTTCAGTCCACAGACCAACGCTCTACCACTGAGCCAAACCGGTTTCGGCTCCTTTTGCTTTATTTTTCTGAGTAAATTCACTGGAATACATATATATATTGATTTTTTTATAGAGAGGAAGGGAGAGGGATAGAGAGTTAGAAACATCGATCAGCTGCCTCTTGCACACCCCCTACTGGGAATGTGCCCACAACCAGAATCGAACCTGGGACCCTTTAGTCCGAAGGCCAATGCTCTATCTAGTGAGCCAAACAGGATAGGGCAGAATAAACTTTTTGTCCTTCTATTATAATTCTATTCTGCTTCATCAGTCATCCTTACTGTTTATACATAGTAATGAAAGCTGTAACATTTTCCTGTCCTGGTTAAGATTAAATTCACTTTGTCCAATGCTGATTGATGTTCTCTCTTTATCCACTCAGGTCATACTTGGTGTGAGCCTTAACCAGTTTGGCTCAGTTGGTAGAGCATTGATCTGCTCACTGAAGGGTCCAGGTTCAATTCTGGTCAAGGGCATGTACCTTGGTTGTGGGCACATCCCCAGTGGGGGTTGTGCAGGAGGCAGCTGGTTGATGTTTTTCGGTCATTGATGTTTCTAACTCTCCACCCCTCTCCCTTCCTCTCAGTAAAAAAATCAATAAAATATATATTAAAAAATACTTGCTGTGAGTCTTGATAGTGGGATTGTCTTCTCTGTCCCTTTGCCTTAGAAATTCTGTGGAAAACATTCATGATGAGCACTATGGCACAAGTCCCGGGACCTCTAGAGCAGTGGTCACCAACCTTTCGGACCTCATGAACCACTGGTTGGCGACTGCTGCTCTGGAGGACCACAGTTCTGAAAAGGGTTATAGGAATATTTTTATTTTGTATAAGATGACACTGTTTTAAATATGTTTTTATTGATTTCAATGATGAGAGAGAATCATTGATTCGCTGCCTCCTGCACAACTCCTTCTGGGGATGTGCTGGAAACCATGGTACATGCCCTTGACCAGAGTCGATCCGGGACCTTTCAGTCCACAGTCTGACACTCTATCCACTGAGCCAAACCCATCAGGGCAGCACTTGCTGTTTTACCACATGGCATTGTGGTAAGGAGGAAACACTGGAAGCTTCTACTGAGTTCCTGAGTTCCAGGCCCAGCTTTTTCTCTAATGGTGTGATCTTGAATAAGTTATCCCCTTCTTTGGTTTCAGTTTTCTCCTCTGGAAAATGAGGGTTTCTTCAGATTTGCTCAGTGATTTATAATGAATTAATAAACACACACACACACACACACACACACACACACACACTCACTTGAGCTGCACATGGCTCAAATTTCAAAAAGTACAAAATGATATATGTCTTTTTTCATTGTCTCCATGTCACCTACTTCATTCATTGGTAGTTTCTTAGAGGGCCTTCCAAAAATGTTCTGTGTGTTAAATAATCCTTTCCAGACTTAAAATTTGATGATTTTTGAGTTTTAGGTAGAATATAATAGTCTAAAGTCTATAGCTACTTTAATCCTGGGCAAGATCTATTTTTTTAAATGTGAATTATATAGTTGTTGCAAGTTTGTTGTCATGGTTAATCCTCACACAAGGACATTTTTTCCATTGATTTTTTAGAAAGTGGAAGAAGGATGAGGAAGAGAGAGAGAGAAAGAGAGAGAGAGACTGACTTTGATTTGAGAAAGACACATTGATTGGTTGCCCCCACGCGTACCTGGACCGGGGCTGGGGATAGAAACTGCAACCGAGGCATGTGTCCTGGACTGGAAATTGAACCTTTGGTGTACTGACAGACACCCTAACTACTGAACTACACCAGCCAGGGCATACTTGCTGTAGGTTTTAATTTTTTTCTATGATAATTAATGTAGAGAAAATAGGGCTATAAGAGGAAAACAATTATTTTCCAAACAGGCTTCTGGAAAAATAAATCACTCTACTGTTTTTCAGGAAAAAACTTCAATAAATATGCAGTTTGCCTTTAATTTTAGGTTTTAGAATGAAACAAGTTTGATAGAGAATTGACTTGTTTCCCCACTGAAACCTAGTTTAATTTTGTCATCGTGATTTGATATGTTATGCAAGCTAGAAGCAAAACAGAGAGGAGTGTTTTGACTGAGTAATGATCATGATCTGTGTTTATAAAAAGGGGAGATCTGTCCAGGTAAAATTATCAACAATAATGGCTTATATTTGTGTATGCTTTGCAGCATTTATAGTGCTATCATGTATTTAATCTCTTTTTACCTTCACAACTCTGAAGAGAGAAGGGATGGTGTTATTACTTTTACTTTATAAATGGGGAAATTAAAGCCCAGAAAGGGTGCGATATACCTAAGGTCACATGACAGGTAAATGGTGTAGTGAAAAGTAAAAATCAGCTTTTGACTTATAGTCTCCTCTTTTCTTTTTTCTCTCACACATTATCAAAATATGTAATCCAGATATTTTGGATGCCATTTGTTCATGTAAATGGTAACAACTGATACTGACAGCATTCTAATTAGTTTTAGGGAGAGCAGTGAATAAATCAGACATTGTAGTGAAGTACAAATGCCTATTAATTTCATCCAATGGAAAGGAAGTGGAAATATGTATTTGGTGTTGTTAGGCAAAGGAATGGAATTTAATCTTTATGCAAGAAAGAGAAGGGATTTGTAAACAGAACTTTCAAACACTCCTCAGAATATTCTCTTTTTTTTTAAAAATATATTTTATTGATTTTTAACAGAGAGGAAGGGAGAGAGATAGAGAGCTAGAAACGTCGATGAGAGAGAAACATCGGCAAGCTGCCTCTTGCACACCCCCTACCGGGGATGTGGCCGCAACCAATGTACATTCCCTTGACCGGAATCGAACCTGGGACCCTTCAGTCCGCAGACCGACGCTCTACCACTGAGCCAAACTGGCTTCAGCAGAATATTCTTTTAAATATTTTTCATTGTCTCCATGTCACCTACTTTTATTTATTTACAAATAAATAAAAATTAATTGAACATTATTTTATTGTTGACAAAACACCAATAATTGCAAGTCTTTATGATCCTTTGGTATTGAGAAGAACCTGTAGGTTTTCACCAAAAAAAAAAAAAGGCATATATACTAAGGACTTGTCATAATAAGTTAATAGTGTCAATTTAAGTTAATAAAAATCTGGATAATGTTAATTTAAAAAAAAGAAAGAAAGAAAATGGAAGGAAAATGCATGCCTGAGGAGAGAAAATTAATGGAGAATCAGGCGAATAGGTGGAATGAACTTAGATTCTGTGTAATCTATACAGAATAGATTTTTTAAACTTCTGGATCAAATGAAACATTTTAAGTACCCTTCCTGCTTGGTTCACTTAAAAGAATGTGTTTTTTTTGTGTCGTGTGTGTGTTTTCTATTTGGAACATGAAAATGAAGAGGGGTTCACTCTAATTACCCTTGCTGCATTCTTTGGGGTAAAATGAATGATCTAATCAATCTGATAGGTTGCTAACTTTTTCTTCTCATTGCCTTTCTCTCCCCAAGCAATTTTTTCTTCTTTCTGATTGTCTCTACTAAATGGGTTTCTTAGGAAATTAATTTTCCTTCCTCAACTTCAGTTTCAGATTGTGGAGTCATCCAAGTAGAAGACAGATGAGCCTAGAATACTAACGTTTCTCCTCAGATGAGGAAGAATAGATTTCAAAGGAGTCTTTCTCTGGCAGTTCTAATTTGATTTTTGCGTACTTTTCCTCAGAAGAAATGTTTTGTTCCAACCAGTGTGTTCTCGGTGTCTCATTTAGGAATTGCACAAGATGAATCTACTTGTCAATTAACTTAGGGACAGTTACTTTATTAATAGCTATTGCTCTCACGGATACAGTGAAACCTGATGACTTTCTCACTGTAATCAACTGTAATCAACTCCTCCCAAGGGCTTCTTCAAAATCCATTTACTAGCTTGGAAATCCTGCTACCTAAATATACCAGATGATCTGGCTGGAGTGGCTCTGTTGAGCGTCTTGCTGTGCACCAAAAGGTTGCTGATTCGATTCCTGGTCAGGGCACATAACCTGGGTTGCGGAAGGCATCCGGTCAATATTTCTCTCACATCAACGTTTCTCTCTCTTTCCCTCTTCCTTTTCCTCTCATTTTCCTATCCCTTTAAAAAAAAAATAAAAAAAAAATATATTTATTGATTTCAGAGAGGAAGGGAGAGGGAGAGAGAGACAGAAACATCAATGATGAGAAAGCATCATTGATTGATTGCCTCCTGTACGACCCCCACTGGGTATAGAACCTGTAACCTGAGCATGTGCCCCTGACCAGAATCAAACCCAGGACCCTCCAGTCCGCAATCTAATGCTCTATCCACTGAGCCAAACCAGCTTTTACCTCCCTCCTCTCTCTAAGCACGTCCTCCAGTAAGGATTAAAAATAATAATAATAATAAAAATATCCAATGAACTGGCATTTTTATGGAAAAGATTCTTGGCAGACATAGTAAAATACCATGATAATGAAATTCCATATTCCCTGTTGACTATTTGAATATATGTGGGTCAGTGGTGCAGTTTAGCATGCTGAGGTGGTGAGTGAGATTTGTGATTAAATTCTAGATCTTTCACTGATGAGCCATGTGACCTTCAGCAAATAGCTTCAGATACCTCTGTAAAATGGGATTGTGGGTTTATTGTGACAATTAGATGAAATAAGATGTAAAGCATTTCATGTAGTTTCTGCCACATAGTAGTTATTCACTAAATGGAGCTGTATTGCAACATGAAAACATTTAAAGTATGCAGTTCAATATTTCTTAGCAAATTTGCAAAGTTTTTCAACTATTACTAAAATCTAATCTTTTTAAAAAAATTTATTTCAGAGAGAAAGGCAGAGGGAGAGAGAGAGAGAGGAACATCAATGATGGGAAATCATTGATTGGCTGCCTCCTGCATGCCCCACACTGGGGATTGAGCCCTCAACCCCAGCATATTCCCTGTCCAGAATCGAACTCTGACCTCCTGACTCATAGGTTAATGCTCAACCTCTGAGCCACACTGGCCGGGCCAAAATGTAATCTTAGAATATTACTATCTCCCCCCCACCCCCTCCCAAAAAAAAGCTTTCTATTTGTAATTTTACCCTTTACCCCTTCCCCACTACTAGGCAACCAAAAATCTACTTTAGGTTTCTATAGGTTTTCCTATTCTGGACATCTATAATAATAAAAGCCTAAGCGACCATTGCAACTGAACGGATGACCGAACAGGCTGCACGGGGTTACCAGCCTGCAGGGGTGGGGGGGCAGTTGGGGGCAACCAGGAAGGCAAGTTGGGCAGTAAGGGGCGACCAGGCTGTTGGGGGGGCCAGTTTGGGGCTACTAGGCCAGCAGTGGGGGCAGATCGGGGTAATCAGGCAGGCAGGTGAGCAGTTAGGAGCCAGTGGTCCCAGTTGTGAGAGGAATATCCAACTGCTGGTTTAGGCCCATCCCCAAGGGGTCCTACATTGGAGAGGTGCAGGCTGGGCTGAGCGCACCCCCCTCCCCCAACGCACGAATTTTGTGCACTGGGCCTCAAGTCTATATAATAAAAGCCTAAGCGACCCTTACAGTGGAACGACCAGAACGACTGGTTGCTATGATGCACAGTGACCACCGGGGGCAGACACTCAACTCAGGAGCAGCCCCCTGGTGGTTAGTGTGCTCCCACAGGGGGGACCACCACTCAGCCAGAAGCTGGGCTCACAGCTGGCGAGTGCAGTGGCTGTGCAGTGGTGGTGGTGGGAGCCTCTCCTACCTCCACGGCAGCAGTAAGGAGCAGCGAGCAGGCTGGCGGTAAGGAGTGAGGAGTCCCGGACTATCCAACTGCCAGCTTAGGCCCAATTCGCTTAGCATAATGCTCTACAGTAGGGGTGTCGAACTCAATCAGAGAAGGGGCCAAAATCTAAAATCCAGCCTAAATCGCGGGCCGAATGGTTTACTGAACAGTCATAAACTGTCATTGTGATGGAAACGCAGCGGAGTGCAGTGATGACAGCGCGGTGCGGGCCACATTGCAAGGCCTGGTGGGACGGATTTGGCCCGCGGGCCTTGTGTTTGACACATGTGCTCTACAGGTTCATCCATGCTGTTGCAAATGGTAAAAGTTCCTTTTTTTATTTTTTATTTTTATTTATTTATTTATTTATTTATTTATTTATTTATTTATTTTTTATAGCAGCAGAGTATTCCATTGCGTAGATGTACCACCATCTTTTAATCCACTCATCTGCTCATGGGCACTTAGGCTGTTTCCAAACCTTAGCTATTGCAAATTGTGCTGCTCTGAACATAGGGTTGCATATATCCTTTCCGATTGGTGTTTCTGGTTTCTTGGGATATATTCCTAGAAGTGGGATCCCTGGGTCAAATGGGAGTTCCATTTTTAGTTTTTTGAGGAAATTCCATATTGTTTTCCACAGTGGCTGCACCAGTCTGCATTCCTACCAGCAGTGCAAGAGGATCTTTTTTCTCCATATCCTCGCTAGCACTTGTTTATTGATTTGTTGATGATAGCCATTCTGAGAGGTGTGAGATCATTGATGTTTTGATTTGCATCTACCAAATGGTTAGTGACTTTGAGCATGCTTCCATATATCTTTTGGTCTTCTGTGTCTATTTTTCAAAAAGTGTCTATTTAAGACCTTTGTCCATTTTTTGATTGAATTGTTTATCTTTCTTTTGTTTAGTTGTATGAGTTCCCTGTAAATTTTGAAATGAAACCCTTACCGGAGTTAACATTGGCAAATATGTTCTTCCATGCAGTAGTCTTTCTTGTTGATGATGTTTTTTTTTTTTTAATCAATCTTTATTGTTCATATTATTACAAAGGTTCCTCATTTCTTCCCCCCTCCACCAGGTTCCCACCCCACCCTTCGTCCCCTCCCCATCCCCAGTTGTCCTCATCCATAGGTGCACAGGTTATGTTCAGTCTCTTCCTCCCTCCCTTTACCCGATAGTAAATCCCTTTTCAGATAGTAAATCAGTTACTTAGCATTTTCTCATATCAATAATACCTCTACATGCCCAAAGATACACTTCACACAAAAGACATTTCCAAATAGGTCAACCAACCTCATCCAGGCCCCGTACAAGGCACTCACAGATCAACACCCCAGCCCTATACTAACTCAACATATCCAGATCTAAGCCTTCATCACTTGATTCAGCAGACCCTCAAGTTCCCGCAAAAGTTTCCAGCCATGTCTGAGAGGCAGCCTTGGGGCGGGAGTAAACGAGGAGTGAGCTGTTCCGGGCCTGGCTGCTCCGGGCCTGGCCTCTGTTTCTCTGGTCCGTTCCACAACCAGCTGCTCCGGGTCTGGCCACTGCCACTCCCGACCTGGTTGCTCCGGGCTTGGCTGCGGTTGCTCCAGGCCTGGCCACGCCCAACCCGGCTGCTCTGGACCTGGCTGCTCCAGGCCCGGCCGCTCCGGGCCCGGCCGCTCCCAGCCTGGCAGCTGCTGCTCCAGGCCTGGCCGCACCCGACCCGGCAGCTCTGGGCCTGGCCGCTCCCAGCCTGGGAGCCGCTGCTCCGGGCCTGGCTGCACCCAACCCGGCTGCTCTGGGCCTGGCTGCTCCGGGCCCGGCCGCTCTGGGCCTGGCTGCTCCCAGCCTAGCAGCTGCTGCTCCAGGCCTGGCCGCACCCGACCCGGCTGCTCCGGGCCTGGCTGCTCCCAGCCTGGCAGCTGCTGCTCTGTGCCTTCCCGTTCCAAGCCTGGCAGCTGCTGCTCCAGGCCTGGCCGCACCCGACCCGGCTGCTCCGGGCCTGGCTGCTCCCAGCCTGGCAGCTGCTGCTCTGTGCCTTCCCGTTCCAAGCCTGGCAGCTGCTACTCTGGGCCTGGCCGCACCCGACCCGGCTGCTCCGGGCCTGTGCAGAAGCTTTTTATTTTGATGTAGTCCCATTTGCTTATTTTCTCCTTAGTTTACATTGCCCTAGAACAGTGGTCGTCAAACTCAGTCAGCAGAGCCAAATATCAACAGTACAACAATTGAAATTTCTTTTGAGAGCCACATTTTTAAAATGTAAACTACTTCTAATGCCACTTCTTCAAAATAGACTCGCCCAAGACGTGGTACTTTGTGGAAGAGCCACATTCAAGGGGTCAAAGAGCCACATGTGGCTCTCAAGCCACAGTTTGCTGACCATTGCCCTAGGAGTTGTATCAGTAAAGATACTGCTACAATATATGTCTGCTATTTTGCTTCCTATGGATTCTTATAAGACATTTATGGTTTCCTGTCTTATGTTTAAGTCCTTTATCCATTTTGAGTTTATTTTTATATATGGTGTAAGTTGGTGGTCTAGTTTCATTTTATTGCATGTATATGTCCAATTTTCCCAACACCATTCATTGAAGAGACGACACTGAGTGGCCAGATTATTATGACCACCGCATCAGTACTTCGTTGGGCCACCTTTTGCTTTCAATACTGTGGTGATTCTTCTTGGCATTGACTCCACGAGATGTTGAAAGGTGATGCGAGGAATCTGACACCATGCCTGATGAATAGCACTGTCCAGTTCTGTGAGGTTTGATAGTTGTGGAACCAGCTGCCTGATGGCTCTTTTATTATTTTATTTTATTTATTTTTTAAAAAGAAATCTTTATTATTCAGATTATTACAAATGTTCCTCATTCCTCCCCACATTTCTCCCCTCCACCAGATTTCCACCCCACCCTCTGCCCTTCCCCCCCCCCCCATTGTCCTCATCCATAGGTGCACAGTTTATGTTCAGTCTCT